TATTTTTATTTTTGTTTTCGTTGTTATTTTTTTTTTTTCGTTGTTATTTTCTATGTTTTTTTCTTTACCTATTTGCACTTCTCGTTTTATTTATCTATTTTCGATTTTCTGTCTATTTATCTATTTTCCGTTCTGCGTTTATTAATCTATTTTCTGTTATGTTTATTTCTTTATTTTCAGTTCTCTGTCTATTCATGTATTTTTAGTTCACTATATATTTATCTGCTTTCCATTTTCTATCTATTTATCTACTTTCCATTTTCTATCTATTTATCTATTTTCAGTTCTCTATTTATCTGTCTATTTTCCTCTGTTTATCTATTTCCATCAGTCTATTTTTTCATCTATTTTCATCAATCTATTCATCTATCTGCTTCTATTAATCTATTAATTTATTCATCCATCTATACATCGGACTATATATGTATCTATCTCTTTCTCTCTCTGGCTATTTATATTTCTATCCACTTGTGTGATTTTCTTCATAACTGGATATATATGTATATATATATATGTATGTATATATATATATATATAATATATATATATATATATATATATATATATGTGTGTGTGTGTGTGTGTGTGTGTGTGTGTGTGTGTGTGTGTGTGTGTGTGTGTGTGTGTGTACGTATATACACAGAAATATACATATATATACATATATACATATGTATATAATACATAATAAACACACACATACGCATATATATGTGTATAGCTAAATATATATATATGCATAAATATATATATATATATACATCTGTATCTATATCCATATATCTGTATATATCTACATATCTATGTACATATATAGATATAGATATCTATACACACACACACACACACGCACGCACATTATATATATATATATATATATATATATATATATATATATATATATATATATATATATATGTACACACACATACACATATATATGTGTGTGTGTAAATGTACGTGCGTAAATATGTGTGTGTGTGTGAAGAGATTAACATATCAATAAGATATATCTTTAATATGACATCTTTATCGTACTAGAAAAAAAAATAACTGAAAACAGCCTTGGAGTTATTTCTTCGATATCGCCTTGTGGAATGACTCAGCGGAAGATAAGATCTTATCGCTTGTTAGAAAAAAAATATTTGATTAAATATATATTCCTATTTTATTATGATGATTTTTTTTTCTTTTTATTAATACCGTCTCTGTTCCAAGCAGATATTAATAAGAAAGACATGACACTTTATACGGATAAGCAACACTAAGAGTTTTGTATCTTTTTTCTTCTCCTGTTATCTCAGTTTTATTGAGAAAAGACTCTCGTTTCCTCTCTTGATTCTTATCTTTTGACACGGAGACACGCAAGACATATGCAACATATAATCATGAAAACGTAAAAATCATGTCGGAAGTCACAAAGTATAATTCATATCAACGACCTTTCTTGTGACGTACGCATGCCAACAATACATATATGATATATATATATATATATATATATATATATATATATATATATATATATATGTATATGTGTGTGTGTGTGTGTGTGTGTGTGTGTGTGTGTGTGTGTGTGTGTGTGTGTGTGTGTGTGTGTGTGTGTGTGTGTGTGTGTGTGTGTGTGTGTGTGTGTACATATATATATATATATATATATATATATATATATATATATATATATATATATATGTATTATATATATATATATATATATATATATATATATATATATATATAAATGTACAGCACACACGCATATAAAGAAATCATGCTTAAAAATTGCACACAAACCTTATATTGAATCCTATATTTTACTCTCTCCATGAATCCAAACATGCATACATGCATACTCAAATTTTACTATGTAAACGATCCCAAACTTTACACGCAAACTTAAACTTTAATCTGTGCACCAACTCAATCTCTAAATGCAATCTCAGACTTTACTCTACACTAAATTTACTAAAACTCAAACTATACTCTACACATACTTTACTCTGTACACCAACTACATTCTCAAACTTTACTCTAAACCAACCCTTTACTCACACCAACCCAAACTTTACTCTACTCACTCTGTACATCAACTCAATTTTTACTCTCGTCACAACTTTAAACTTTACACGCAAACTCAGACTTAACACTAGACTCAAACTTTACTCTCAACACAAATCTAAACTTTACACGCAAACACAGACTGAACACTAGACTCAAACTTTACTCTCACCACAAATCTAAACTTTACACCCAAACTCAAACTTCCCTCTATAAACTAACCCAAACTTTACTCTAGACACGAACCGAAAACTTAAAACAGCTTTTTATCCTTTTATCCTTTCCACAGGGACAACACAACAGGTGATTTGTGCAGCGAGCTAAACGGTTTGCCAACTGCCACTTGCCGATTCGATCCCGATGCCAACCAAGTGGCTAATTCTTCCTTGATGTCCTATTACTATCTTAGTTCAGTAAGTTATTTGTGCATTTGTTTGTCTTTGTTTAGATTTTGTGTGTGTTGACTAGGGTTGTGTGTGTGTGTGTGTGTGTGTGTGTGTGTGTGTGTGTGTGTGTGTGTGTGTGTGTGTGTGTGTGTGTGTGTGTGTGTGTGTGTGTGTGTGTGTGTGTGTGTGTGTGTGTGGTTTAATGAAAGTGAAAATACATTTTTAAAAAGAAAGGTATATATGGAATCACGTATATCAAAATGTATTGGGAATACGTGTACGTATACTTACATACATATAAATTAGTACATGTATAAACATATACACATATATGAGCACATGCGTGCGCACACGCACAAGCGCACGTGCACACATATACATACACACATACATACACATACACGCATACATGCACATACACGCATACATACACATACACACATACAGGTGTATTTGACTCGCGCTTCGATCACAACTCCACCCAGAACAAAAAAGTATCGACTCTAAATATATCCCAAACACTGTAAAGCAATCCACTCTCTTACCATATTTTCCTACATTTATCACAACGATCCCTGTCCAAATCTAACATCGAGACGTCCTTCCAGATCGAGGAATTCTGCGACAGCACCACCAGGACCCCTCACGTAGCTGACGCCCCCAACAGGCACAACGACAAGTGCGCCCGAAGCTCTGTTTGGGACGTCATGGAGGCCCACGCGGATTTTACCGGCGGAGCGTGAGTTGTACCCCGAGACTGTGTATTTTGGGGATGTTTTGTGTGCAAAATATGGGTCTTCAGTCCGTGTAGAGCGTGAGTTGTACCCGGAGACTGTATGTGTATTTTGTGTTTTGTGTACGAAATATGGGTCTTCAGTCCGTGTAGAGCGTGTATTGTACTCAGAGGCTTTCATATAGGACTCTGCGCTGTATATTTTGGAAGGTCTTGTGCACGAAATCTGCGTCTTCAGTCCGTGTAGAGCGTAAGTTGTACCACGAGACTTTCATAACGGACGCTAAGCTGTATATTTTGGGATGTTTTGTGTACGAAATATGGGTCTTCAGTTCGTGTGGCTGTTGGTGTGGAATTGCATGGGGTGTTAGAGTGATTTCTGCAACTATTTTACGTAGGATAGCTTTAAATACATCGAGACAACGTTACATCTGATAATCTAGAATATGCTAGGAAGATAAACACACACAGAAATGTAGATAAATAGATAGATACGCAGAGAGAGAGAGGGGGAGGGAGAGAGAGAGAGAGAGAGAGAGAGAGAGAGAGAGAACGAAATACAATATACCTACGACCGAAAAAAAAAAAGATTGAGACTGTCATAAAATACAATTTCCGACCAAAAGGTGCTGTAACTACTTCTGACAGGAAGCGAATGCCTTTATATCGATCCTAAACCACCACGATAACCCATATTGGCCTTTCACAAACCTGGGCTGTATAAAGAAAAGCAAAGATGGACGTATGTATTATCAAATGGACATGTAAGAAAAACATAACAAAGGCACCCCCTCCCTTCCCCCCATCAGGAACCCCCCCGTCAGTAGCTCCACTCCCACGAGGTTCACTGTCGTACGTCAGGAGGAGGCCAAGTTCGCCCTCGTCCTGGACTACTCGGGCAGCATGATCAGCTACAGCAGGATACAGAAGTTGCAAATGGCTGCTCGTCGGTGGATACTTCACGAGGTGTCCATGGGAAGTTCCGTGGCCATTATCAAGTTCACGTAAGTATCGGTACAGATATCTGTGGGTTGTTTTTGTTTGTTTGTTTTTTGAGCTCCTGTAACTTTTTATTTTCAAGCTCCTGTAAGTTTCAAGATCAACGAATTTGAAAAAAAAAAAAACACCAAAGAAAAGAATAAATAAGCAAATAAAAAATCAAATATTTTATCTCACAAAAATCAAATACATTCCCCCAAACATTCTGCAATCTTCCTAAATATTCATACAACCGAACTCCTCAGTCCTGGCCATACTTATGTCCCCATATTCACACAACTGAACTCCTCAGTCCTGACCATACTTATCTTCCTATACACATACATTCTTCCCCCTTCACCCCCAGGAGCACAGCCACGTTGGTTGCAGGACTCACCGCCATCAGCAACGATGCAACACGCCAGAGCCTTGCACAGAGGATCGACAGCGCGGCAGGAGGAGGGACTTGCATCGGCTGTGGACTTCAGATGGCCATTGGGAGTGTGAGTGGCGGCTTTTGTGGTGTCTTATTAGTATTGTGGTTTGTGTGTGACATGTTCTGTGTCCCGTTTCGTGTTATTTTGTGTGTTATAAAGTGTCATGCTCTGTGTCTAGTAAGTGACATTTTCTGTTTTGCCTTATTTGGTGTCATTTCATGTCTCATTTCGTGTCATGTGTCTCATTTGTGTCTGTGTGTCCTGTGTTCTATTTGGTGCCATATTCTGTCTAAATGAGTGTAATTTTCTGCAATTTAGTTGATGTCCTGTTATGTCTTATTTCGTGTCATGTTTGCTTTACTTTGTGTCATTTGTTATCTTATTTAGTGTCACTTTCAGTGTTATTGT